CTCTGCAGTCTTACAATTCTATGGAAATGTCCAGGTATTTTTTTTACACATACTGTACCTTCCCCCTAAAAGCACTGTGAACTCAGTGAAGTCAAAAAAGAATTGCCTCAAGTGATGCTGCTTCCTTGGAACACATTCATTTCAGTATATTTTATCCCACATGTCTTCCAAGGAGCTCAAGTTTTCTACTACTACTACTACTACCATCGACAGCCCCATTATCTTCACAAGAACCTTGTAATGTTGATTAAACCAGTGCAAATGTCATCCAATTACTTTTAGAGTTCAATGGGACAAACTTGGTTTTCCTTGGATGAGCACTGTAGTCAAAACACAGCAAGACTAAAGATAAATTGGATAAATCCACATATTTTGGAGACTGGGAGAATTTTGAACAAAGAAACAGATTATGGGCAGAGGGAGCCGAGTTTAATTTATGAATTAAAATTCAGCAGCCCAGTTCTAACTGTACATCTGTAAGTTTCTGCAGATATTACTTCTTTCCTTTGGCAGTGTTATGCACATGAGTTAGAAGTGAAACACCTACTTCAACAGAGATGTGGGCAATGCACAAGGCAACACAGAAAAGGCTGCAGCTTAATATGAGAAATGCTTGAGGACAAGTTCCACACAAAAATGTTAACGGGCAAGTGGCTAGCTTCCACATTGTAGCAGAAGCAAAGTCTGCAGTCATTTTAAAACTTGAGTGTGAAAAAATATTCTGCATAGTGACCTTTGGAGAATTTATGCTACTTTTAGCATCAGCTAATTAGGAAGAGCCTGGAGGCTATGTGACTTGATTAGGAACATGGTTGGTATTTCAAATCACTTTCCACCAAGTTCTTTAAGGAACTTTCTATGTCTGGGAGAAGAAGAAGAAAAATCACAATCACATAACAGGATGAGACACATAGACTTTCTCTATTAAAGGAGAATTGGCATATTGCTGCCAGTACTCTTGAATGAAAAAAGGATATTGCTGACCTAAAAAAATATCCAGACTATTTTTACCCATAACTAAAGCATATCACAATTTTTCCCCTACAAAATAAAGTTTACAGATTAGTTTCTCTATATACTGATCTCTCATTCCACCCACACAGAGATGGGGCAGATTCAGCTGAAGAAGAGGAGGTAGTTTTGTAGTTTTCTTCTCAGCCCTGAGTGCAATGGGTGAAAATGAAGGGATCATTTGTGGCCATCAAAGAATCATAGAAAAGTGAAGTTGGAAGGGGCCTACAAGGCCATCAAGTCCAACCCCCTGCTCAATGCCTTTATTCTTCATAACAGCCCGAGTAGCCTTGCATTCTGTATTTGGACATAAATTGTTCCTCGGAAGAGCTACTGAAGGGCAGTATATTGAGACCCACCTAGACTTTATTGTATATCGCAAAAGCAACAGCGTCAATATTTAATTTTCTTTATGAGAAACAGCAACAGGGGATTGCAGTTAAAAACAGATCACAGGTTATGAATTCCTGGACCTTTTCCTCTCCATCCATTTTTCATTCAACACCTATTCCTCTCCTGAAGTGTTCTTTTTTCACCCACACAGTCATGATTTCAGCAACCTGGATCCTGTATGATCATACAGAGCAGTGGTTCCCATCCTTGGGTCCCCAGCTGGGCTTGAACTAAATTTTCCAGAAGCCTTCACCACTCGCTGTGCTAGCCAGCATTTCTGGGAACTGTAGTCCAAGGACATCTGAGGGCCCAATGTTGGGACTCACTGATATAGAAGAAAAAGAACACAACTAATATGTGTGTTAGCAGTTTGCCTTTGCATTGGATGAAACACAGATATTCACCAGTATCTGCACAAAGCAGTCTACCGTTAATAATGGCAGAATCACACGCCATCAAGTCAATTCAGAATCCTGTTCAAGGCATGACATGTTACACAGTGGTAAATGTGCTGGTCAGTCACCCTGGCAATAAGGACTGTGCCAGGTGATTTCACAAATGGTTACACAGTTCCCATTTCAATCAATTGCTCGGTGCACTTTTGGAAGTGCTTTGTAGATAGGACTTCCATCTTAGCACCACTGTAGCTACCGCAAGCATAACTCAACACTACATGTGCATAGCTCCAGAACAGGATTTCAGCCATAACAATCCCCTCTAGCTACACAGAACTCAGAAGTGATTTACCCTTCCCTTCGGCTGGAGGAGTCCTGGGACTTTGCAGCTTGCTTAAAAGTTATACAGGCTAGATCTTTTCATGAGAGGCACAGTGTGGAATTGAACACCCAAACTCTGGCTCCACAGGCAGGAACCCAACTCACAGAGCCAGTAGTCTATTGTAACTACCAATTAAATCTAGTCAATTATCAACAATTTTTTTGTTGTGTTGTTGTTTCTCTTGGTAGAAGAGTTAATTGTTATGAATGCCTCTTCAAAACAAAAGCTACAGGTTTTTCAGAGCTTTCTTCACACAGTCCCAAATTATTGCAATGTCTCTATTATTGCATTAGTGGAAAACTGAAAGAAATAAATGACACAAGCGAGACATGAACGGGAAGCTTTGAGAGAGAGTGGGCACTAGCATATGCTTCTTCAGAACTGTCAAGCCTTCAGTTGCCATGGTAGCATGTTCCTAAAGAAACCAGATTAGATGTTCATGCTTTAGCACTGGAATGGCCCAAAAGAAAAGCGTTAGCCTTGAGAATTAAACAAATAGGATTTTATTTCCTCTAATCAGCAAGACAGCATCTTTTCTACAAATGATTTAAAAAGTGAGTGTTACTGGAGAGAAAATGAGTGCAAGATCTTTCATTTTCTTTTTATGCTGCCAATATTGTGGTATGAAGAGTTTTCCTAGGGTGTTGTTTAAATTAAATTACTGGATGAATTATCCATTTAAAGATAGCACAGGAAGGGACAGGCTACAGAATTGTTATGCTGTGTGATTATAAGCAACAATGTTTATCTGGTAGGTTAGGCCGCCCTCCCACATGCTTGCTCTCTCTCTCACTCACACACACACGGGGGGGGGGGGTGGCGGTACAAGCAAACAATATTTCTAGCTGCAATTAAGATACAAGTAAAGTTGTGGTGCATCATCATCACATTACCAGTACTCTTACGAAGGCTCCAAGAGTGATCATTTGGCAATAAAAAGGTATTTCTCAAGTCTCCAGAAGCCCAAAACCCTTTTCATTTTCGTTTTTATCTTAGTATTTTATTATTATTTTTGTAAACCACCCATAGTGGCCTTGGTAGCTAGATGGGTGGGACGGACAGACAGACAGATTAAAAAAAAACTCCACTCTGGGGTGGACTTCCAGCAAAACTCGAAATGTATTAAAATGTATTAAACATGCAGAAATGATTGTCAATAACAATAATAATCCTAGTAATCCTATTCCATTACAAAAATGATCCTCCTATCCCCCCCCCAAAAAAATAAAGTGTTTTTTGAGATTCAGTTCATCTGTTTATGATTTATCCCTATACAATTTTTTTCTGTTTTTGTTTTAAATTAGGTAATACTGAAATACAAACACAGACAACAGGGGAAGCAGAAAAAGCAGGAAAAAGCCCTGATGACTGATTGGTAGTATTCCTTATCAAGAATTCAGTCAAACCATCCTAAAAACAGATCCATGGTTCCCCCCACCCGCCTCCAAGTGTCTGGATAGCTCCTATTCACACAGCCTGGACAGAATAATCTTAACCCCATGCCTACACAGCAGGAGTGACACACACACCACACCTTTCTGTGATAACTGAAACTTACCGAATGTATATAGGATTGCAGTCTACATCTCCTCCAAGTAGTCTACAAGAAACAAGAGAATGAAAGGCTACTACAAAGAATGTGCTAAGAGAAGGAGGCATAGCCATTTCAAACCTTATGTACTGCAGGAAGTCTTTTATTCAATTTGTGGCCCTGCATGTTATTAAAAATACTTACTTTCAGAAGTTATGTCTCACTACGCTTGAATGTCTCTGCAGAAAATTCTGTTCATGTAGTAACCAGGTTAAAATGGGTTTTAAGTTCTATTTGATAAACCATAGTAATAATTGTGCATGTCCAGCATTCATACTGTTCAACATCACAGAGCAAAACCAGATATTAAGAGAAATCCATGCTGTAGATTAATTTGCTTTCTTTCTTACACCAAGATATCTTATGTAGCAATCAGCCTTGCCAATTAAATCCAACTTTAGCCTCCAGTAACCAGTTACAATACAGTGCATGCTAAATACAAAGGACATAAAGTGTGCTATGACAGCAGGCATCTTTCACCACTTGAAGGGCCAACACTACAAGAAATAGTATACATGTGATAAAGGTACCTTCTAGTTTTACAGTGTATTCATTTCAGTTTCTTCTTCTTTGAATGGCATGTCTCTGCTACCTCTCTATTTTCAACTCCAAGAACGCCAGACTGAACAGGGATCTGTGCAGAGTGCCACTCTGTCCATGGGCAAGCAAAAATCCATTGCATGGTTACCATGGGACCATACAAACAGCCATGATTCAATCCGTATTTAGACCCTTGTATGTTTTATACCACATGACACCCTGTGTTTATTTTCTGTCATTATTTTTAAAACATTAAAAATTGGCTTTTAATCTTCAATTCAGATTGTTTCATCGTTGGTTTAGTCGTTTAGTCATGTCCGACTCTTCGTGACCCCATTGACCAGAGTACGCCAGGCCCTCCTATATTTATATATCAATATTAGTTTCATTTGCATCTTTTGTTCAGAATGAACTGCTGTGCTATATAGTGTTACCACTGTACAAATTTAATTTCATGCTAGTGAAACATATTAAAAAGGTATTCTTACTCCCAGTAATTTGCTATGGCATGTATGGCAGCCAAAGATGCTGAAATATTTTTTATGACATGTATTCAGGATGTTCCAAGAAAGTCAGTGTTCCATGTTGATAGAATCCTGGACTTCCAGTTTGCGAAAAGCGAGTACTTGTGTTACTCCACATATCAACAAAGAAACAGTTTAGAAATGAAGTAAGTTTAATTTTAAGTACACAATATTAATATATGTGTCATATAGCTAGGGATATTATTTCCTGAGTTGTCCAAAGCTTTTAAAAACCATGAGCAAAGAAGTGTATGGTAGAGCTGTAACAGCTTAAAGTATGCTTAAAAACTGAAGTACAATTAATAATCCTTCAGACAGTACATTTTTTAAAAAAAACAACATAAATCTAGCAGCCATTCTTCACATTCATCACCAGTATGTTCAATAATTATTTTAAAATTGTAAATATATATATATATGTTACATTTAAAGACAAAATGTCAAGTTATTCTGCAAGGTAGATTTGGGATAACCATTTATTGGATCTGTTCTGTTCTTTGCTTCAACATTAATACTGATTTTGAAAATCGGATAAAATTTAAATCCTCTTCTTAATTGACAAGGACTCAGAGGTCCTGAAGTGAACAGTTTTAATACTTTCATGAAGGAGGATTTCCAAAGATGCCCAATTGGAATTCAATAGCTGGGATTTTAAATAATCATGTGATACAGCGTGAATCATTCTCAAGCAAGGTCACATTTCAAGAGTAGCCAATCCATAGCAATATATTATATTTCAAAAGGTTTGGCCCAAATCCTATTATTTATGCCTGTTCGTACAATGCCATTGGCATAAATGCTGGTAGCAAAAAGCTTTCTGGAGCTCCCATTTCTGCACAGTCCACCAGTATTAGATAAGAGCTTTCTAGCAGACCCCACACAGGGGAAGAAGCAATGCTGCACACATCTCTCTCTAGATCTTCAGTGAAAAGGCACACTTCTTTAAGAAATATTTTGTAGAGAATTGAACTAAATATTTAGAGCAATTAAAGATATAATTCCCCTACTTGTTGACCTGGAAATCTGAGCAAAAAGGAAGGCCTTACCAAGGACAGGATGGTTCAGCATCCAGAAGACGGATTCCAAAATGAATCTTTGCAACCAGAATGTTAAGATATACTCTGTCTCAGTGACAAAAACCTGACTTTTGTGGGCAGAAAAGGATGACATGGGCCACTACAGACCTTAGCAGTGAGGTGCTTTTCACATATTGAAGTCATATGTGCTGAAATCTATGCTGGTCTAGACCCTAGATTTATAACATCAGAAGTTAGCTCCCCGAGGTAAGAGGCAAAGCCTTTCCTATTTTTTGCATTTTAACTCATATGCTATAATGGAAAAAAGAAAAAAAAAGAAAGGTTAGCAATATTACCTGAAGGATGGCCACAACTAATTATTCTACTTCCCGTAAACAGAGACCTAGAGTTGTGCAGGTAATGGAAGATCCTTCAAGAGCTGGTGAGTTCAGACTCCTTTTTCAGCTACAGATGTTTATCCTTCTAGTTATAGATGGCTATGTGCAAATGCAACTTATGTGGTTTGTTATAATGGTAACAGCAGCAAAGGTTCTCTAAAAAACTCATTTAAATCAGCCTACATAAAAGCACTTCCAAGGATACTGTCTTTTAAATTACTTCAACACAAGTTTCATTCTAAAATCCTTTCAAACACCGGGATACCAAAGAGTCTCTTTTAAAAGCAGGATACAAAACAGAACCGAACCCTTGACAAAGGGAAATGTGCATCAAAGGGCCGCGTGAGGAGCTGGTTGGAAGCCACTGCTTTTTGTGGCCTGAGCCATGGCTCTGCGTTTGGCAAGGCGGGATTTGGAGGGAGGAGAAAGCTTCATGGAGCACATGGCCTGCATGATGCCCTCTTGCTCTTCGTTGAGTTGATTTTCGTGCTGGGAGAGCTGGCGGTTTAAGGCAATAGCCTCTGCAGTGAAGAGAGTCAGCTCTTTCGTGCTGCTGTTCCTGCCAAAGTGGATTTGGGGGGGGGGGGAAAGAGAGATCCATTTATATCATGGAGACTAAATATCCCATCATTGAAAGCAGGAGATGGGCACAATTTGTCTCTCCACTACTTCACTTTTAAATAATCAGGTTATGTTCTGTGATACCAAACTACAGTAAACTAGTCCTGCAGACGTCGTAAACCATCCTCACACAAACGGTTTTTCCAACTAATGCAGTTTGCTAGGTTCCTTGGTCCTCCTCTGATATGACTGTAGTATGAGTGGATACAGTGTGCTCTGTGGGGAATTTCTGTGACCCATAAAACCACTCCAACCCAACCCCCATCTTACAATTTATCGTGTTAGGGACTCCCCCAACCCGAAGCAGATTTTGTTTTATTTTTTAAACTGTGAATTTGGGGCCTGGGCCAGCCTGCAGAAAGGTCTGGAGGCTCCCAAATCTACCAAAGTTGCTCACATCTGGATCAAATGGCAACTCTCCCACAAAACCCTTCCCACTACTTAAGAAAGATAATCAGAAAGAGTTACCTTTGAAGGACCTGTGGCGTAGGCAGTCCTCTTTCAGAAGCATGCTGGATATGATTAGAATATTACAGTTTAAGCTGAGGTGTTTTTTTTAAAAAAAAAACACAAATCTTTACTTAAGTAAAGAATACGTAAATGACACTCATATTTCAGAGTTTACTAATCTGAACATTCCTTTCACAACCAAGCTTTCATATAAATTAGATGGCCATACATGTGGCAGCTACAATGTTCCTATAAATGTATGTATCTTAAACAAGAACAAAAATATGCATGTATAGTTATAGGTGATCGCGTTAGTCTGTGTAAGCATTGCAGGTAAAATCAAAACAGAAATAAAAAGTAAAAAAAAACCCCACACACAGATGTCGTGGCACTCAAAGACTATCTTTTATATTTTTTTAATATGCGCTTTCGTGGGCAAGTGTAATGTATAATGCCTGATGAAATGGACTTGTCCACAAAAGCTCACACTAAAAAAAGTATACAAGATAGTCTTTGAGATGCCACCATGTTTTTGCTTTTGTTTAACTTTTTATTTCTCTTTTGCTTTTACCAAAAATAGTCATGATGCTTTGCATTTCACCTGTATCAATGCTGGGAACACTTGATTCTTCTCAGAGAGAACATACACTCAAAATGGGCTTGTGACCAAACAAACCCAGAAAACCTGAACATCCATGAATGCCTCTGGGAAAACAGGACTAGCTTAAGGTTCTTGTGCTACAGGCTGAAACAGAAAGGTTTCAGGCACCTCAGTATTTAGGGAAGCATTCAACGGGGTTGGGTTTTAACAGTGGTGTAACATGGATTGTCAGCACCCAGGGCACCATGTGGCTGGGTGTGGTCGGAGAAGCCCCTGGGATAGTGTCATGAAGTGTAGCCACTCAAGAAGGAGGCATGCCAAGGATGTCTAGAGCACTGGGATGGGATGGGTGCTGAGGGGAGTGCCTACTCCATCAAGGAGGGCAGGGCTCGGCAGGGCAGGAGGGCCAGAGGAGCTGCTGGCGGGGCAGGGCATCCCTCTGTCCTGCCTGCCTACCATCGCACCTTGGCTGTCTGTAGTGACTTCCCTGCCAGGTTCAGTTCTGCTGTTCAAGCTCCCTGTTTGTGGCTCCAAAATGAAGGAGACCGCTGCTCTGCTGGGTAGCCACTGAGCTAGCGACCACCACAGGCCCCTTTCCCAGCAAAACGTTTGATGCCAGGAAGGCCGGCACCTTGGCGGATGGAGGATGTGATAGCAGTCAAGAAAGAAAGGGGCAGAGAAAGACACAGGAAGGGACCATCTTGGGCAACGAAGCCCTTCCAACCACCACACCCCTAAGAATTTGATGCCTAGGGCAACCGCCCCTGTGCCGCCCGCCCCCCACTTAAAGCATTTTTAGGAAAAAATGCCATTGGGTTTCCATTCTGGTGACCACTGTTTGGCTCTGGCTTATCTCCAATGAAATCAAAACCCAGGGTGACCTTTTATCAAGCATCTATTTTATCAAACAGCAGTACAATATAAAAACAGACAGGGAGGCAGGCGTGGAAGAGACAGGCAACTTACACCTTGTACCCATGGATGCTGTAGAACCTGAGCAGCACTGAGCCGTTCTTTGGCATCGCGGACTAACAACTTTGAGATGAGATCTTTGGCATCACTGGAAATATGAGACCAGTCCTTGTCGGGGAATTCGTATTTGCCTTCCTGGATACTCTCGAACAGTTTGTTCTAGCAACAACATATAAATATAGGTGTGATGATATGGGTTATAGAAGCCATAAGGTAATTTCTAAATTAGATTTGTAGTCATGAAATTAGCCAGAAAGAATCCATCCTTGGTCTGTGTAATTCTAATGGAGGTTTCCAGATGCTGTTTTCCTTCACAGAAGTCCGTGTTCTTATCTAGTCACCCAGGATACAGAATTCTAAACATTCCATTCCTACTGAAGTCTAAACATCCCAGCGGCTAAACCTAAACAACACCTGTGTTCTCATGAGAATAGAAGGACTAAGAAAGATAGCTTTTTCTTCTTCCTGATTGGCTGTCCACGGGAGGAAAGGAAGGAGGGTTTTTTTCCAGCACAGAAGAAAAATGCAGCTTTGCAGAGGGAGAGAAGAGTTCTTTTTTTGTCTCATGGATTTCTAAAAGGAACTTTTTTGCCTTATGGATTATATGGACAATGGTTTCTTAGATGGACATTGGTGTTCCTGAAATTGTTTTAGGATGTAGTTCTACAAGTAGTTAGAGGGGAAGCTATGCTTTTCCTAATTTTTCTTAGATAGCAATTTTATTGTTTTATTTTTATTTTTTTTTAGCTGGAGTTTGTTAGAGTTCTAACTGGATAGTTATGGAAATGAACCTGATTGTTCTGCTTTTGCAACAAACTGAATTTCTTTTTAAATCTTTATTTTTCTAATAAAACAATTATACCAAAGATCTTATGTTTGATCTCTTGAACAGACACAAGCTGCTACCAATACTAAACTTTATTGATTTCTTTCAGGCCACGGAATTAACTACCTTGAGTCCAATATTTTCTTGAGTACTGGGAGTTCTAAATGACTCTGGGACTCATGATTATATTTTGGTTTCTCAATGATTTTAAATGGGGATAGATTTGGGAAAGGAGTGTAGTGTGTCTGCCTGGGATGGAACAAGGACTCATTCCATTTCACTTAGGAGAACATTAACTCCAGAACCTCTCTATTCCGAGCTGTCTGTTTCTTCTAGGAGAATGGATATGCTCACTATCTTCACACATTGTTAATTCAGAGTCACAAATGTCACTTTTTAAAAAACAACATGGTCATAGTAGGTCCCCACAGCCCTTCCCGCCCTCCATTTTCCTATAACACTGCCAATATAGTTTTGAATTGAAATTCCACAGGACTTGAGAAGACAACATAGTCCTCAGAACTTGAAGTAACAGCATGTTTCCCATCCCCAATCAAGGCACATTTGAACATGGGCAATAGACTAACCTGTATTTGGACAGTTCAAATCTGATTCGAGTACATCAATAAAATTAACTTGCAATTCTGTGATTCCATATAGTGCTACTCAACTTATTCCCTTCACAAATCCATACAGCTAGAAACTGAACCTAACACATAAGAGAGCTGGGCTGAAGCCATGGTTAATATATTGGAATGGAACTAAAGAAATCCAGGTTCTGTTTTCCATTGAGCCCTAAAACTCAGTGGATGGTCACTGGGCCAACCACTCTTTCCTGGCTTAGCTGAATTCAAGAGAATCGTCATGAGAACTACATGGGAGGAATCTGGAAATCCATGTAGGCTGTCCTGAGCCCACTTGGAGCAAAGGCAATATATAACTGTAACTAATAAAGAGTAGAGTGGTATTCCGTCTGGGACTATAAGAAAGGATCAAACATCTTTGTTGTTGTTATGTGCTGTCAAGTCAGATCTGACTTACGGTGACCCTAATAGGGCTTTCAAGGTAAGTGAGATATTTAAGGAGTGGTTTTATCAGTTCCACTCGAGTTTCCATGGCTCAGTGGGGATTCAAAATCAGGCCTCCTGACTCCTAGTCTGTCACTTTATCCACTATATCACATTGGGTATGATCATACATCTAGAGCACTGTATTTTCTAGGTGGTCCTACAACAGCCCTCATTCTTCAAGTTAGCAGAATGTCTCAGAGGACTTTGGGAAGCAATTCATGTAGTTCAACTAAACAGGCATTGTGAGCCATAATCCCATCACCTTGTTCCACATATATTCTAGGAGTATGCGTGCATGTGCTTTCCTTCAACCCCATATGCTTAGCCGCTTACCTGACAAACACTGCAGACTTCTCCCCTGTCCCAGCCACAGCCTGTGCCACAGTTCCCCACAAATGGTGGATAGCCACTTAGCATGATATACAAAATCACACCCAAGCTCCATAGGTCACAGCGCTTGTCATAGAATGTGGCCTCTTCTGTGAAGACTTCCACCACCTCAGGGGCCATGTACTCGGCAGAACCACACTAGCAAGACACAGAAATTCATATTAGATGGAAACAGATATGTTCATGGCCAGCTGAAAATGACACAGAAATGGATGAGGCTTTACTTTCAAATGTGTGTTTTAAACCACAGCTAAAACAAAATTAAAAAACCTGAACATACTACATATCATGTGCTTTTTCTGATGGCAAAAGCCACTGTCATTCTATTACCCAAAACATACAGCTATCTAGAATAATGATCTTTTTCATACCAAGCTAGCAGAGTAGAAACTGAACCAGAAAATCCAAGGCACAACAGCGACCAAGTAAGGGGCAGAAACCAGGAGAGATCTGACCACTTAATGGCTGAAATCCTATTTGTGTAAGTTCTGCAGCATAATGCTGATACCATCATCAGTGAAAGGCTTTTATTTTTGCTTAGAACTTAAACCTTTCCCTCTCCTGTCTTGGGGTTCCCGTGGGCCCAAAGTAATCCCTTTCATCATTGGGGGCTGTGGGATGGTATCAGGAAGTCTTTACTTAAAATCACAGTCACTGATGAGATTTTCAGTAATTAAAGACTCTTAACACACACCTGTCTGTTGGCCCCCAAAAGCTTCTCCACAACAAAAGATCACACAGGAGTATCAGGACCTTCGTTGGTGAATCAGAAATATTGTCTCCCTACCCCACTTCAAATTTCCATGGAATTTAAACAAGCAGGATTTCAGCCAGTGTCATATTTGTCCAGAGTGAAGAAAACAAACCCTGCCCTGTTAAATTCCCTGACTGGTTGCTGAGTTACTTCTATCCTTATTTCAGATCTGTGAAGGCTTTGCATGTCTGAAAGTTATTATGCTGGAGCACGTTCCCAGACTAGAAGTCTCCACCTGGACAAAGGAAGGAAGGAAAGGGAAAAGGAAAGAATTCCCCACCCATAGTCTGAAGATACAGTATTACCACCTTTTGTATCACAAGAAAAAGACGTCTAATGCTCTTGAAATTCGATGATCTAGAAACCATCCACATATACTGCATATAATCTCAGTGTCACCAGGCCATTGGTTGATAGTACAACTTAAAAATTTATGCCTCTTAAAATACCTTATAGTGAAAGAAATAAGAATTAAAATTCTCCATGATTTCATTCGTTTTTAGCAATACTTGCTGTTGCTCAGCAACTCTGTTGTACTGTATTGCCAAGGTTGTGGGAAGCAAATTAACAGTCTCAAACTTATTTGCATGGAGTGTGAAATTTTGCCATGAATAAAAATCCTTGGCTTTACATGTGTTGAACTGGTATTGTATTGTACAATATATGTGACTTTATACTATTGATTTGCCTTTGATGGCTAGTGTTTTCCAGTATATTTTCCTGCTTGCCTTCATCTTATATATGCTACACATTTCATAGGCTCATGGAATAATGGCATTGGAAGAAGCCTATTAAGGCCATCGTCCACCCCCCCCCCCACACCCAATGCAGGGATCCAATTCAAAGTATATCTGACAGATGGTTGTCTAATTTTGTCTTGAATGCTTTAGCACGGAAGCATTCACCACCTCTCAAGGTAATTGGTTTCACTGTCATACTGCCCTAACCATTAAGACATTTTTCCTGATATTTAATCGAACTTTCTGCAACTTGAGCCCATTATTATGAGTCCTTCATTCTGGGATAGCTGAAAACAGATCCTGCCCCTCCTTTATGTGAAAACCTTTCAAGTATTTGAAGACTGCTCTTATATCTCCCCCTCTTTTTATTTTTTATTTTTACTCAAGGCTGAATATGCTCAGTTCTTTCAGTCTTTCCTCCTACGGCTTGGTTACCAGACCCCTGATCATCCTTGTCACTCTCCTCTGAACTTGTACCAGTTTGTCTGCATCCTTCTTAAAGTGCAGTGTCCGCAACTGGACACAGTACTAAAGATGAGGCCTAACCAGTGCCCAATAGAGGGGGATGAGTACCTCACAGGATTTGGTGACTATACTTATCTTAAAAAGGTAAGGGTTCCCCTTGACATTTAGTCCAGTCGTGTCCAACTCTAGGGAGTGGAACTCATCCGTTTCCAAGCTGTAGAGCCAGCGTTTAGTCCGTAGACAGTTTTCCGTGGTCATGTGGCCAACGTGACTAGACACAGAAAGCCATTACCTTACCACTGAAGTGGTACCTATTTATCTACTTGCATTTTTACATACTTTCAAAGTACTAGGTTGGCAGGAGCTGGGACAAGTGACCGGAGCTCACTCCATCGCATGGATTCGATCTTACGACTGGTTGGTCTTCTGACCTTGCAGCACAGAGGCTTCTGCGGCTTAACCCGCAGTGCCATCACATCCCTTATCTTAATATTTATCTTAATACAACCTAAAATAGCATTTGCCTTTTTTACAGCCACATCGCACTGTTGACTCGTATCTAGCTTTTGCTCTACAACAGTTTCAAGATCCTTCTCCCTCACAGTATAACTGAGCCAAGTATCCCACATCTTGTAACTGTGTATTTGTCCGCCCCCCACCCCCCGGTGCCAAACTTCCATTCTGTTGTTTTCAGTCCAGTACTCAAGACTATCAAGATCTTTTTGAATTTTGTTTCTGTCCTCCAGAGCATTAGCTATTTCACTCAATTTTGTGTCATCCACAAATCTGATAAACATTCCCTGCACTCCCTCATCCATGACATTAATAAAAATGATGAAGAGCACCATATCCAGGACTGAGCCTTGTGGTCCCCACCCCACTTGTTACTCCCCAGTTTGAAAAGGAGCCATTGATAAGCACGAATCTGTAGCAACTGTGTATCCAGCAACTGTGTATCCAGTTGAAAGTTGTCTTATCCAGCCCACATCTAGTTAGTTAGCTAATCCAAGTATTACAGGCTTTGCTAAAGTCAAGATATATTACATTGTTTTCAAGGTGCTTGCAGACTGATCACATTACAATCTCCTCCAGAATTTCCCCTACAACTGATGTCTGGTTGACTGGTCTGTAGTTCCCAGGTTCTCCTTTTTGAAAATATGGACAATATTAACCTTTCTCCAGTCATCTGGCACTTCATGCATCCTCCATTTTTCTGGAAAATAATAGACAGTACTGTAGATTTTAAGAGTTCTTCAGCCAGTTCCTTCAATACTCTTGGATGCAGATTTTCAAGCCTTGAAGATTTGAACTCACTCAAACTAATAAGCTATTCCATGACTAAAACAAAGTCTTCCCTAAAATACCACATTATGTATGTGGCCACACTCCACTTTTGCCTCCTTTCAAATTAAGAACTCAAGTACAACATGGCTATCTCGTTCCCATTACTCCCACTTTTTGTAGGAGAAAATGATCGGATGAATTATTTGGCAGGACCATATTTGGCAGAATTTGCCTCTCAACAGGCACAAGGTAAGCGAAATCTCCCATTAGTACTACATTGTGTCTCTTTGAAATTCTTGCTATTTGCTTTTCAAAGTTTTCATCTCTATCTTCTCCTTGACTGAGTGGTCAGTAGTAGACTCCACATTCCTTTTATTTTTTTACCCCATTTATTTTAATCCAGATGCTCTCAATGGAACATCCAAACTCAGCCTCCTGTATTTCTGTGCAGGAATATGCATTTTTTATATACAGTATGACTTCCCCTCACTTTCTATTTTTTCTGAACAATTTATATTTTTCCATTCCTGTATTCCAGTCAAGGAGGTGATCAGTTTCAGTTATACTTATCAAACTGTAAATACTCTCCTGAACGGAGATTTCCAGCTCTTCTTGTTTGCTTCCCATACTCCTGGCATTTGTACATAGACACTGAATATTGTGTGATTTGTAGCCTACTTTCCTCTGTACATTTTTATGACGATTGATATTGGGTGCCATTAGAGCTGCTGGCTCTTTTCCTCTTACTTTGCATAAGCCTTCCTATGTCTTTACCTCCAAGTTTGTGTCTCCTTCTTCCTTCCAATTCAGGTTAGACCCCCCCCCCATGAAGATGTCCACATTGTGGCTAAACACATTCTTGCCAGTCCTTGTGAAGTGCCACCCATCACTTCCAGCAGTCCATCTTCCTCACATTGGCACCATCTTCAGAGCCAGTTGTTCAGCTGGAGTATTTTCCTTTCTATTCCTATTCTTAGTACTGGTAGGACTAACAAGAAGACTAACACAAGTCTTTGAGTCTTCCTACCTGGTGGGACCATGGATCTTCCTTGGTATATTTCGGTTTAAGTCGCACACAGTAGGAAATCTCTTTCTACAACTCATTGCCCTTTTTTTTCTTGAAGGATGTGTGTTCAGTGACTCTGCTTCAGCCTCTCTTATGCCCTCCCACAGGATCTCCTGTTTGCCTTCTTCTGCATGCTGTCTGCCAGACTCCTCCTCTTCTCTCTCTCTTGCTAATCTTTCTGATATACAAATTGTCTCATCTCTCTTAACAGTCAATTTCCAGAGGCTGAGAACATCACAGATGGTTGGGCCAGACAATGTTTAAGAATCTCTTAAACACAGAGATGTGAATCCTAGTGGTGTTTGCATAAGATCTGTATAATTTGCTGTGGCTAATTGTGGCCTATTGATGAGGTATTGGGGTGCAGTTGCATCCTCAGTCACATGCCTGATAGCACCAACTACAACGTATCCTGGCACACTGTCATTTAACCACAATTAGCCTAAGAAGTTATGCAAAAATGAATAGGATTCCAGCCACAGTTTGAAATGGCTCACTGAAATAGGAACCGGGTCATTCATTCATTCATTTTAATTTATATGCCACCCACATTACCCAAAGGCCTCTGGGTAGTATTGCCTTTCAAGTCTGAGGCAATACTGCACTTTACTGGGTTATTCAAATCACTACCAACCCCACCCACCCACTCCTTCTTCATCTTTTGCCCTCCAGATCAAGGTAGCCCATGAAAATTCCTCAGGGGCTACCTTTCTTTCTCCCTCTGAAGTGTACAACACATTAATGGTACTCTATTAAGACATGTATTATTTACCACTAATGAAATCAATGCCATTCAGTTCAAGCAAATTCATTTTGCTGCTAGGTTACAAAAAACCCCAAGAATCAATATCTCCTCAAAGGTATTGTGCAACTTTATTATGCTGATAACCTCAATCATTGGTTAGCTTGCGTCTAGCACAACAGTGTGCTGTAGCTCCAACTCTGCACATGCCTCTCAATTAAACTGAGCCTGAACCGCACAGAGAGCTCAGTGGCAGAGCCTATGCATTGTGCACAGAATGTTCACTCCCTGGCATACCAAGTCAGGTTTGGGAAATACTGCTTTGGGAAACCCTAGACATTTGTGCCAGTCAGTACAGACAATAATGAACCAGACAGGCAAGCACTCTGATCAATTACAAGGCAGCTTCCTCTGTAGTGTTAGGTCCTCTTCCAGCATATCCTGGATGCTATGCTATGTACTCTAGTCCCAGGACTAGAGATGGGGGTATTCGTACACGAATATCCCCGCACAGTCCACTCACCAATCCACCGCAGACGGCACGATTCTATGATTGGCTCTGCAGTGTGCAATCCACATTCCACTCCTGGCAGGAGGTGGGTGGACAAGCCTCGCTGCAAGATTGAAGAGGGCAAGCAGATCACGTGCTGTGGAGCCATTCGGGTGGACAAGCCTCGCTGCAAGATCGAAGAGGGCAAGCGGATCACGTGCTGTGGAGCCATTGGTATAATCCATGGCGAATCGATGAGTGGACCGTCTGGTCCCACCTATGTGGGGATATCCCCTATCTCTACCCAGGACAAAAGAAAGCCTCCATCAAATACTGCGCAATGCTCAGGTTGTTATACAAACCAGAAAAGAGATTCCATGAGGCACCACCCATCTTTTTAGGAAGCAGGAGGAGAGGAAAAGAAAACCAACAAGGTAGAATCCATGGCAAATCGATGAGTGGACCGTCTGGTCCCACCTATGTGGGGATATCCCCTATCTCTACCCAGGACAAAAGAAAGCCTCCATCAAATACTGCGCAATGCTCAGGTTGTTATACAAACCAGAAAAGAGATTCCATGAGGCACCACCCATCTTTTTAGGAAGCAGGAGGAGAGGAAAAGAAAACCAACAAATGAGACAAGCATACCTCCCGGACAACTCCTATTAAAAGCACACTTCAAAATTCTGGGTATAGTATCATGCATATCGGGATCCAAGCTCAGAAACATTACTTTCTTGGGACTCCAGCTGCCACCTGTGCTGGCTGAAGGATTCTGGGAACTGTAGTCCAAAATTGGAAACTTTCTAAACTCTGGCCAGGACTAGAGCCCGTGGCCACTCCCATCTCCAGAACATGAGGATACTGCTTCGAAGGTGTGCAATGTCTAGTACTTACTTTATGGATTATAAGAACCTCCCTGCAAAATCCTGATAAAAATAAGCAGCCCATAGGATTCCACACTCTGTAATGGGCAAGGGATGATTGCAAATTGAAACACTGATTCAAGGCTGTGCCTTTGTAATGCAACACAAACATCATGCACATATGAGTAACTGGGGGGGGCAGGAATTCCATTTGCATAGAATTGCTAACAGCAGGAGGAGACAGCAGTCTACATACTGGAGTAGTCAGCTCAGGAGTGGTGATGGGTGTACATGCACTGTTGAGTTTCACCCCACTTCCAAGGTCAAAGTCACAAATTCTCACTGGGGACACCTGAAATAGGGAAGGGGAAAAAAAGGAAAGAGAATATCAGAGAGACCATTTTTTGTGACCTCTAGCTTTGAGAAGACATTATTATTATTATTATTTTAAAAAAACAGATTACAAAGCATGAAGTACCTTAGTGGGAGATTCACACAATATGTTTTCAGGTTTTAGGTCTCGATGAGCAATACCTAAGATAAAACACAGGAAGAGGAATGAACTGGATCCTAGGGAGACATGTAAAACAAAGTGAGAAACTTCTCCGGGCTTATAAACAAACCAGACTTCTCAGCTCAGGGCTTACATCAACTACACTGCCTACTGAAGTATAATCTTCAAGCAGTTAACCATGTTCTTTATATTCAATCAGCCCTAGATAAAATCCTAACTGGACATCAATCTATGGGGGTAGACTCCATATCATGGCTTCTTTCCTTGGCCAGCAATGATCATATTTTGGAGGTGGGGAAAGGTCAGTGTTGGACAAATCTATTGTATACCCTCCTCCCATGTGATTGTCCTTTTCTGAGATTTTGAAGTAGCTTACAAAGGAGCTACTTTCTGTCAGCTTCCATGACAACTGGGATTAGCATGGGGGAAATGTTTCTATGAGCAGCTGTTACTATTTACAGGAAATCCTCATCTCTGATAAATAATCTAGTACTGTTCAGATACACAAAACAAGCATCCAAAGCAATTTCTAACAGGTAGCTTACAGAAAAATTTATATATAAAATCTGAGGAAGTTATATATATATAACACTGGGGCTTAATTTTTAATTGCACACTGTTCTTTTTTAGAAGTGCACATAAATATCTATCAGTGTTAGGAAAGCAAAGTGATAAGCCCCTTTCACATAACAATCACACAACAGTCCACATTATGAACAGCAACAGGGGTGGCAGTATACCCTATCTAGGTTACCTGGGCTTTCTTGCACAACACCCACTCATGCCTCAAATGTTGTGATCTACAGGCAGAAACTAGTCCCTGTATACTTCCATGAGAACTGGAAATTTGAAGACATAAATGTCCTGTGAGACAGGAAGCTGCACCATATGCTCTCTCTTTAATATGTGATTTCACACATTTAAAGGGCCTACTCCCTTGGCTCAATGCAAGTTAAGAAAATAACTTCTTATAAATCTTGTCTTCCCTGTTGGACTTGAATAAACAATTTAAGTTATCATCTGCGCAACTCAGCATCACTGTTAAAAGTCAATCACTAGACAAAGTCTGGCCTGAAGCTTTGAAGAAAATATAAAATTTTAAGGCTGTCAAATCTTTAAAATTTAAGAAAAGTATGTTACTTCCTTTTTGTCGCTCTAGCAACACTTTGAACACTGCAGGAGAAAAACATCAGGGTGCCTCACAATGAAAACAACTGGTTTTGTTTTGTTCATATGCAAAGACTCCATAAGTTTCCCCCCAAAACTAGAAGTGATTTTGATCTCACATATATTTAAATGAGGCAAGACAACAAGTAATATGACAGTCTCTATGCCACTCCTGAACCACAGATAGACCACATTTGTAACAACACTCTTGATATCAATTATTATGGCAGTAATATGCTAAAACCTTAAAAATTTCTTCAAAGCTTACTGAAAGAAAGTCTAGGCTGGATAAGTCATCCCCTATCTGATTTGACCCACCTAACCTAAATACTTTTCCAGATGTCCAGCCTCCTTCATAGAGCACAAAGTTATTTAATTACTATACACAATGGTCATCAGCAAGCCTTAATCTAGCAGTGCATCACTAATCACCATCCCCAAATACCACAAGGTCACTGCAAGTGACACAGACACTGAATCATCATGTTTAAGCCCAGTAACTCACGCAGGGAGAGTGTTCATCTTCTTACCACACATAATCAAAGTAGCAGAAAGCCAGCAATAGTAGCACAGAAACCCTTGGGCTAATTTGCATGACTTCCGTGAAAAATAAAAATAAAAAAAATAAAACATGCCCAATAAGACTAAATAATGCAACACTCTGAAGCTCATGCTGATCTTTTACAGACCCAAGTAAACCTTGTCTGGCCTTAAAGCTGTTACCTAATGAGCATGTAAAATAAAGTGTTCGGGTTTTGTTGTTGTTGTTTTTTACCTTTTGTGTGAAGGAAATCCAGAGCAGAGGCAATGTCTCTCACCACCCTGCTGGCTTCTCTCTCATTAAAGTGCTTTTGCTTTTGTATGTGGGCTAGGATAGAACCTGCAGATAAAAAGGGCAAGTAGGCACTTTGCTTTTAAACACACACACACACACCATGAAAAGGAAAAAGGCAGACAGGAATACTTGAAATCAAACCATTCTAGACAGAACACATCAGACAAAAAATGTAGTGGGAACAGATGTATTACATTCAAACTGCATGCCTCTTATTTCAACACAAACAGGGCCAAAGGTAATTACTGTAGAAAAATTGCTATAATAACCAACAATTTTACAGCTTGGTAACAGTCTGAAAAAAGTACAGCTTGAACTATGCATGTTTATTCACAGCACATTCCTGGTTCCATGGGACCTACTTCAAAAGTTAATATCAGATTATGGCCTTAGGAACGAGTGAAAAAAATCCAAAGTTTCACTGGGAGGGTCCAATGTTTTTTTTCAAAAAGCTTTCTAAGATTGATTTGGCACAATCCCCCTCATGCCCCAGCTGTACATTCATGACCTCTTAACCAGAAAGTATTTATGATTTCTCCCTGCAGCACAGCGGCCTGAAAAATTTGTTCCTGAATGTCTTGCCTCTATAATTCTGTCCATTTCCCAAAAAGAAACACTCAAGAACAGCTGGACAGTACTGCCATTCACCTGTTTGTGGGAGAGGCTGTAGGAGAGTGGCAGAGTACAGGTCCCAGGTTCAATCCCCACCATCTTCAAGTAGGGTTGGAAAACCCACTGGTTTGAAAACCCAGAGAGCTGCTGCCATTCAGTGTAGCTAATACTGGGCTGGATGGACTTCATTTCTTCCCATTGTAAGCTTTGTTTTTTAGGCAGAAGATTATATCGTAGAACCAAAGATATACTAAATCTATATGCCCATTTTTTCCAGCTTAAAATAACCCCTAAGACCATGTGTTCCAACATCATCACCATCATCATGTAGAGGCTATCTCAAGCCTCAGAATGTCATAACATCTGAACAGGTGAAGTAGTATTTACAGTGGTGCCTGAAACATCTCTGGTGTGTGAAACATCTCTGTACAGAAAGAAAAAAGCCATTGGAATGCATTAAACTTAGTTTAATGCGTTCCAATCGTCTGATTTACTCACCGTACAGCAATGTTCCTCTATGGCCGGCAGCCATTTTCGCGCCCTCCCCTCGCTTAATGAGGGCACGAAAACGCTGCGTGCGGCCATTTTGGGGCTTCCGGCGGCCATTTTGTAGCCGCGGAACAGCTGATTGGCAGGTCGCAAAGCGAAGGTCGGTAAGTGAACCACTTACCGACCTTCGCTCTGCGATTTTCGCCCATTGGGGCCGTTGCTCTGCGATCACATTAGCGATCGAAAAAACATCCCCGTAGAGCAAATTCATCGCACTATGGGGCGCTCGTTGTGCGAGGCACCACTGTATTTAGAGTAGACCCCCCTCATAACTGCATAGTCGGTATTAAGCCCACAGTGCACATGCACACTTACCTCTTCCTCTTGCACTTCCCCCCTCCCTCTCTTTAACGGGTACCCTCATATCCATGGTTTCAGGTCTCTGTGGCTGATCCTGGACAGATCACCCATGAATAAGAGGGAGCGGGGACAGCTACTGTATATTGGTTGTTTTGTGGTTCCAATATATACCGGGCCACAACTGCTAGGTATTCAGTATACTCCTGCAGTGGTGAGGGGTCCCTTCTGTCCTTTGCTGACTGTAACATTTGTTGTATTTTTGCCACAAGGACGGGTGATCACTACATACAAAAGACCAGCTAACGATACCCATCAATCACAGTGACAGATAATCTCCCCTCCTTATCACAACAATACACCCACAACAAAAACACACTGATCGCCATAATCACCGATCTCCTGAAAAGGACAAAAGCTGATCCCACAGCTATAAATACTCAGCTCCCAAACAAACTGCACCAGAGCACAGAGTGCTACTCATGTCCTCTGAAGATGCCAGCCACAGAGACTGGTGAAACATTAGGAAGAAAAACCTTCAGAACACGACCAAAGAGCCTGAAAAACCCGCAACCATTAGATCCCGGATGTGAAAGCTTTCGCGAATACACTACTGTATATTGTTTCTACTTCTAAGGTTTGATATTTTTACTGCTGCAGAAAAATAGCTCTCTTGATTTTTTAAAAAAATCTTCTGTCTTTCACCATGCTTTTTTGTGTCAGAGATTTGAAGCTGTTAATGTAATACAGTGTAAAACTAATAACAAAAATATGGCAACAATTTATAACAATGTATACCTCCACGCAACTTTTCAAAGACAAGATAGTACCTTCCAGTATCTTCAAAAAATTCTATTAATTCCAAAATGTTCCTTAAGAAAGACAAAGGGGTGGGGGTAAAGAACAAGTTATATGAAATTGTTTTTCAATATATTATAATATATGAGATATATTTATCATCATACATGACACCTACGTATGCTTTGAAGGAAACACTATGAAAACCTCATAAAGAAGGATAAAAACAATCAATATGTATATTGTTTACCTATTAAATTTCTGGCTTATGTGAACTCGGTTTTTTTGGTTCCACAACTGAAAACGCACTTCAATTTACCTGGGCTATTTACAGATATTATGCTAAAGGGAAACTGGAAAAGTAGTAAACCTCTAACTCTGTAATCTATGTAAAAATATTCTGTTTCCTTGAGGTGCAAAACATGAATGACATATTGCCACTTTCCCCCAAATAATTTAATTTCTTAATGGATCTAATGTTTAAAAGCCTTTAAAAACACATCACCAGAATCTGGTCTACTTTGCTACATTATAATAGGTGCTGAAGCACAGCAGATTCATAAATCATTAGGAAAAAACTTCAAACCTCACACATGTGGATATTCACTAAAACAGCCAATTAACTTTTCTGTTGCCTTAGGCAAATAGGAATTCAGCTTTTGTCTAAAACAGGGCTGGGAAACCTCTGATCCTTCAATGTCTTTCACTACAGTTTGGATGATCTCTCATTGCTGAAGATTGTGGCTGGAGATATGGGAACTGATATCCAAAACAGCTAGAGTCAAAGGTTCCCAAATCCTTGATCTAAAGGATCAGTCACTTCTTTTAATGATTCCAGAACACATCAAACAAAACTAATATACAAGGGCACTCAATGTAAGCAACCAGACAGGTATCCCAGATATTTTAACAAAGCAATTTCCTGTACTAAACCACAGTGTAAACGTTAGCACAAATTTCTCAAACTAGAGCACCTCTAGAACTATGGAGATGAAAGGAACCTGAACTCTAATCTAGCCCAGTGGTTCCCAACCTTGGGTCTCCATATGTTATTGGACTAAAAATCAGAGAAGCCTTCACCACTAGCTGTGCTAGCCAAGACATCTGGAAATTGTAGTCCAAGAATGTCTGGAGACCCAAGATTGAGAAACAATGTTCTAGCTCACTCTCCTTTTCTCTCCTTTATAGACATGTGCCAGTTTATAGATATCTTTCTTAAACAGTGATGTACAGAACTGGACATAGCATAGCAACTGCAATCTAACCAAAGTAAAATTCAAAGGTATTTTGGTGCAGAGAAACCATTCGTATACTTCTGTTGATACAGCTGTTGTGTTTTTGTTCTGTGATATAGTAAGTCACTTCCAACTTATGACAACCCTATGAATTATTGACCTCCAAAGATCAGGTCACAATAGTCCTGCTCATGTCCTACAAACTCAAGGCTGTGGCTTCCTCAAGGCCACTTCATGTTCGACCTCCTTCTTTTCCTGCTGGCTTCAGTTTTTCCCAGAAGCAGACTAATAAGACTCCCAAATCTCACTGTCAAGCCAAGTGCCGCCCATTCTATATAAATGTATGGGTCACGTGACTATTGATTCTAACCCACTAATGGAGCAGGGTATATACAGTGGTGCCCCGCAAGACGATATTAATTCATTCTGCAAAAATCGCTGTTTTGCGAAAACATTGTCTTGCAAAATGCGGTTCCCCATTGGAATGCATTGAAATCCATTTAATGTGTTCCAATGGGGAAAATCGTTGTCGTTTTGGAAAAATCACCCATAGGAAAACTGTTTTGTGAAGTGCTGATCAGCTGTCAAAATTGTCGTCTTGCAAAAAATGGTCCTCCCCAAAAAAGTCTTGCAAAGCATGGACCGAAACATCATCCAGCGAAAATCACCCATAGGAAACACCGTTTTGCGAAGCGCTATAGCGATTGCAAAAACTCACAGGTCAGACTCTGTGTGGTGGAATCATGTAACATCAACAATTCACAATTATGTTGTCCAAGAAGGCAAGAATGAACTAACCTGTTACCCTGACATTGATACAATGTTTCCACTTCTCGGAACACTCGACTTCGACTGTGTCCAGTGTTTTTTTCAATTATCTGTTATAAAAACTAAAAGTCAGCTCTAAAAACAAAAGGTATACTGCTGAGCAACTATTAGCAGTATTTTTAATTTTCAAAAATGCATACATATTCAAAGTGAATACAACATTTAGTGGTGTTTATGACATTTGTTAATGATCTCATGCTCTTTATTTGGACACGGCACCTTTACGAAGCCCACCAGCACCGATGTCCTGGAGGTCCTTTCCACACATACCCCAGAACCAACGTGGTCCACTTAGCGGTCCTCAGCATCCAGATGCCTAGCAGCGGTGACAATGCGTCAGTCACGGATGTAGTCCTGCTGGGCTTCCCCGCCTCTCCCCTCAGTCAGCTGCTCAGCAGCTGAGTGGGGAGACTCATCTTCCCACCTCCTTGCTGGAGCAGTCGGCTGCAGGGAGAGGTTGGGCAGCACCAGCGGGATCATGTCCATAACTGGTGTGATGTTGCCACTGCCGGGTGTCTGCATGCCCAATAAGTGGACCGAGCAGGTTCTGGGGGACAGAGAAGAACCGCTGGGACACCTGTGCTGGCAGGCTTCATTTTCATTTCCCTGAGAGATGAATATGAAGCTCTCATGTCTACTCTTACTTCATGAAACGATTATTGCTAAGAGATGATTACCTGCACAGGCAACGTCTGGGATGCGTACAGATTAACAGCATCAACACATAGCACCTCTGCAACCCCCATTTTGAAAAGACCATTCCAAAGCACATTGTCCAAGAAAATCCCCTCGTGCCCTCTGGGGGTGGTGTGTGCAGGGGGCAACTGTGTTTGAAGGGGCCTTGTAGCCCCCTCGTCACAACTCCTCAATCTTCATAGTATTTAAAAAGTATATTTTGAGCCACAAGAGATCCCAATGGGACTTTGCAGTTTATAAAAGATCCTGACTTGTGTGAAAACATCGGAGGATGGAGGGAGAACACAGGAGAAGCTAGGGTGGATAAAAATCAATAATCTTAAAACTCAAATTCATTTAAATCACACTTTAAATTTTAAAAATTGTTTTTTTTAAAAAAATTTAAATTGCAAAAAACAAAATCTGCTTTTTAAAATTTAAATCAAATCCATTCAGGGAACAGGCATGGCCAGGAGACCTCACTCAGACAGTTCCAATATCAGACACCATATGTCCCTGTTCACCAGTTGCTGAGAAACACACATGGAAGGATGCTACTGCATTCATGTTCTGCTTATGGGTTCCTACAGGCATCTAGTTGGCCACTATAGGAATGAATTACTAGACTAGCTAGGACTTTGTTCTGAGCCACCACAGTTATTCTTAAGAGATAAGGCTGACTGCCAACTCTCTGTACCATGGTTCATAGGACTGGAAATTCTATGTATTTCCAGGCTAGGAATTCAGTAAAAATATCTAAAATTCATATTTTACTTCAGTCCAGAGAAAACATCAATGATATGACCAGGCCGTAAAGAGCTCAAATGACCCGCAGGAACCCCAGGGCATTTTTACTTACTTTAACTGCATATTCCTTCCCATTTTGCAAGCTAACTGCTCCTTGTACCTTGGCATAGGAGCCTTCCCCAAGCAGCTCCGCAGTGAGTTTGTACAAATCTGCCCAGGAAAGAAGCCGTCATATAGAAATTATTAGAAGACACTTCAGCAAACTGCAAGAATAAGCTACTGAGCCAATGATTGTCCCCGATAATTAGATAAAATCAACTGTTTCCTTGCTAATAAACAGATGAAACCGCAGCTTCAGTTTTAAGACTCTGTTTTTGAAGACGAAAGCATGGGAGTGAAGTTCAAAACCTTGTCCACATTAAAATATTAACTCCAGAAAGCCGGCAATCCTATCTACTTTATCTCATAAATTAACTTAAACAGATAAAAGCCAAGTATTTCAAGCTTACTGAATCTTATTCTCCAGGCTACAGTGCGAGTAATTTCATGGGATTGCCATAAAACATCTACAGCTCAGTCCTCTCATGGAAAGGAAAATTTCAATTCATTTCTTTGAGTTAAAACACAGGGGACAATACAGAGAGAGAGAGAGGTATCAATGAATTCACTATGCTCACTGCAACCAAATTCAATGCCTGCTTAGTTCAAGAACAAGCCCCAGTGAATTGAAAAGCGTAAGCTGTACAGCCTTAAATGCTGACTGTTCCTCTCCTGAAATCAGTCTGAAATAATCCCAGTGAAACAGAAGTGAAATTCCTTATAAATAAAAGAACACGGATTTAAATAATTTATATACCTTGCTGCTCTTGAAAGAAATGTCAAGGATATAATGCAACAAAGTATTTATATTGTGGATAAACCTAGTCAACCTCTCTGTAGTATCTCTAATTGTTACCAACAGCTATTGTGTCTTTTCTGTTAAATGTTTAATGAATTGTATGTATAGTATAAGAGACACTGAACACAACAGATGTTCACTCTCTACGAAACTGTAACACTATTGAATTGCTTAAACTGAAGCAACTGAACAGTATAAAAAAAGAGGGGGGGGAGCAAAATGTGAAACCCACCTTCAAACCTTCCAGGAAAATGGTCTGTAGCTCTGGTCCTCTTTTTCTTTTTCCTTTTGTTATTATCTGATATGGGAAGAGGCTGGCTGCTCACCATTGCTATGTAGCAGAAAAGTACAATAAACAAACTACCATTATATTTACTATATATAAGGAAAGAAACTGTATGTCTTCAGAGTCTTAAACACTCTCATGTTCAGAAGCTTCATTTATCTTCCTGATTCCTAAGCTTTAACACTCACCCAGTACTGATACATAATTTATTATTTATTTATTTAAAATATTTTTTTAACCCGTGTTTCTCTTTTAAAAAAGCTTTAAGGCAGTTTATATCATTAAAAGACAATATTAAAGCTAACAGCAGCGAGTGTACAAATACTAAAAAAGGATAAAACAAAATAACATATTAAAAAAAAACATAAGCAACACCAGAACACATCCAAAGCAGTAAGGTACAAACATCTATTTAAAAGCCGCACTCAGGCAGCCAGCCACTCAGGGAAAGCTTGCCTGAAGAGAAAGGTCTTCACCTGCTTGCAGAAGGACAGTAAAGCTGGGGCCAGTCTGGCCTACTGTGGGAGCGAATTCCAGAGTCTGGGAGCAGCAACAGAGAAAGCCCTCTCCTGTGTACCCCCCCCCCAAGCGCACCTGTGAAGGCAGTGGGACCAAGAGAAAGGCTTCCCCTGAGGAGCTTAACACTCAAGCAGGTTCATAATGGAAGATGTGGTCTTTTAGATAGCTTGGGCCCAAACCATTCAGGGTTTTATAGGTTGGAACCAGTACTTTGAATTCAACCTGGAAATGGACTGGCAGCTAGTGGAGCTGTTGGGGGGGGGGGGGGGGAGGGGATCCCAGGGAT